CCCCAAAACCCCAAAACCCCAAGTGACATCATTGCAATCACGATTGAGGTAATTAAAATCAAGCAGAGGTTAATTAGAGATAGTGACGTATCGATTAAAATAAATAATAAATTTAGACACTTACTTAAAGATGCAAGCTTAGAGAGCCGAAGGCGAATCTGCCACTAAATTCTTTATCAAGAACTTACTCGCTGCCTCAACTGCTGGTTGTGTTGCTGAGATCGCTACCATCCCTATTGATACTGCCAAGGTCAGACTTCAAATTCAAGGAAAGAATATAGATCCAAGCATTAAGCCAAAGTATTAGGGATTCATGGGCACAATGAAAACTATCACTGCTGAAGAAGGTCCAAGAGCTTTGTACAATGGTTTAGCAGCTGGTCTTCAAAGATAAGTTCTATTCGCAGGTCTCAGAATCGGTCTATATATTCCAGTTAGAAACATGATTGCTGGAGAGCTCAAGCCAGGTGAAAACCCAACATTGAAAACAAAGATATTAGCTGGTCTCTGCACAGGTGCCATCGGTATTTCAATTGCCAACCCAACTGATGTCGTTAAGGTTAAGATGCAAGCTCAAGCCAGATCAGCTGACCCCAGTCAAGTCAAATATAAGGGATGCATTGATTGCTATAGTTAGATTATTAAGGCAGACGGTATTCCAGGCCTGTGGGTTGGAATTATCCCAAACATCCTTAGGAACTCAGTAATCAACGCTGCTGAGATCGCCTCATATGATCAATACAAGCAAATGTTCCTCCAATATACTGCCCTTCCAGATAACATGTCCCTCCACATTCTCTGCGGTTTCATGGCTGGATTCACTGCTACCTGCTTCGGTTCACCTTTTGACGTCGTCAAGACCAGAATGATGAGTGCTGCCGTTCCTTACAAGGGAGTTATAGATTGCGTGTCTAAGACTATCAGAAATGAAGGTCCAATGGCATTCTACAATGGATTCACAGCTAACTTCATGAGAATAGGTACATGGAATATTGTAATGTTTGTGACTCTAGAGTAGATTAAGAAAGCAATCTTCCCACCTATAAAGAAAGAATGACTCTATATACTCTAGTTTTTAATTACTATCAAAATAATATCAAATTCCAAAAGATTTTTATTTGATTCCTTAGGGGTTTTGGGGTTTTGGGGTTTTGGGGTTTTGGGGTTTTGGGG